ATAACAATAATAAAAACAATAAAACAGTAATAATAACACAATAATAATGATCACAATCACTTGATCAAGCACAAAATCGCTCTCGATCGAAACTCCAACACGAGAAATATTTCACAAAATGGACAAATAATAGAAAATTTTTCGGAAAAATCGACTTTTCCTTCCGTAAAAGTAAAATCGCTCGCTCGCCTCTCCCCCCCCCTAACTCCATTCTCCACCTCACAATGCCGTCGATATCACCGACGATATACCGTGCACAAGCAGTGTCGGCGGCAAACCATCCGTTAAACACTGCACAACGTTCAGATAACGATCACTTAAGGAAACCTGAAAAANAAAAATCTCCTGAAAAACAACAAAAAAACCAACAAAATGAAACAAAAATTCCGAAAATTTTCCAATTTTCACTCCCTCCGAAAAAATGTTTTTCAAATTTTTTCAAATTCCGAAAATTCCAAAAATTAACCAACATCATTCGGTGGAGTCGGCAGATTCAGCAGGCAAATGGCTGCCTCGCCGCTGTTCTTCTTGATCAGATCGTTCATCGCTTCCACATAGCTGATCGGTAAATCCACTGATTCTCTACAAATCAACTTTTTTTAAAGCCTCTAGCCAAATATTGGGGATATAACAAACAGTAAATTCAGAAACTGACCTCGGCGGAGCATTCGGCGTGTCCTCGCCCAAATGGCACACCACATGATCCCACGGCATCACCAGCGATCGCGCATCGATTCGCAGTTGCGTTAGCATTTGCTTCAATTGTCGCTCTCGACGATGCATATCCTTTGAAAATACAAATTAACCAAAGAAATTCAAACATTCAGCACGATTAAACCGCAATCCTTCTTTATTTCATAGTTAAGAAGTATTGGAACAAGGTTTCTGTGAGAAATTTTTCAAATCACTTTGGAAATTTTCAAAAAATTCGTCAAAATCGTTGGTATTTTCCACCAAAAAATCAAATAACCAAAACCCAAAAAAACCGAAAAAACCAAAAAAACCACACACCTGTAAACTATTCACACAAATGAACACTCTCAGTATGGTATGCGAACGCCATCGTGAGCTCATCGACAAAATACACGCCAATTGCAGCAAAAACAGCGAGCTGAAATTCGGTTTAAACAATTGGAAACATTCCAAAATTCGAAAAACTGGAAACATTCCAAAAATTTCCACAATTAGTAGGAAATTTGCTAAAAATTTTATAAAAAAGTGAAAAGCAATTTCCAACGATGACCTTTGACCCCATCCAAGTCCTGTCTCACCCGGTTTCTGCATACAAACCGGCCATACGTCAATAAATTTCTTCTGCCCGTTCCATGTCCTACAACTAATAATAATAAAAATGACAATGAATAATAATAAATAACAATAAACAACAACAATAAATGACAATAAATAATAATAAATAATAATGTTCAATAATTGGAAACATTCCAAAAATAATAATAAACAATAAAAAATAATAAAATCACCTCAAAGTCTCCTTATCGAGTCTATGGAAGTGCCTCGCCACGCACAAACTCTTATTTATATGCAGCACATCATTTAATATGTGTACGTACTCCTCATTTGTTAAACGTTCACACGACCCATTCATCTCCTTAAATAATTAATAATAATAACAATAACCCAAAACCCCTGGTTAAACCTACCCAAACCCCGGGTAAAACCCACCCAAATCCTCGGTAAAACCCCCCTAATACCCCGGTAAAACCCACCCAAACCCCGGTAAAACCTAAACCGCACCCTAACCACTCTTCCACCCAATACCCACCCCTACATTTTACCCAAACTATCTCTCAAAAAAACCAAAAAATACCAAAAAAACCCACCCTCGGCATATAATCCGCAGCAGTGAAGTACTCCACCACCTCGGCCCTATCAATCCTTGAATATTTCAAATCCTTCAGTAGGCACGTCTCCACCAACGTCGTCTCTGTGGGTGTCTTCTCGTGATAGCTAATCACCACCATGTTCGGTTTCATCGCACCCAAACCGGACAAACGCATTAACTGCAATAAAACAAAGCTAACTAACTAATTAATTAACTGGCTAATTACTTAATTAGCTAATTAATTAACTAATTAAACAAACAAATATCTAACCTGCTGACACCCCTCCCGAATCGATTTCGACACCGTCAACTCGACGAACGCTTTCAACTTCAAATAATCCACCAACGATAGCCAATAGGGGAAAACCTGAAATAAAGTACCATCAAATGAAAAAAATGAAAAAAAAATGTCCGCCAGGCCAAAGGTTTAAAAAGAGCA